TTTTTTTCTGCCATTATTGCTGAGTGAATTTGTATTAGAATCCATTTCTTCTCTGGGTTTTTAAGTTGTAATCCTTTCTCTTTAGCTGATCACTCATGACTAATACAATGCATGTATGGATTTTTAGTGCCTTTTTAAAAATCAAAATTAACTACTTAAAAAGGAAAGTAAAACCTAGTTGTTTACATTTAAGATTTAAACAATAAATCGTCTTCTGTTTCTTTGCTGTAAAAGTGAGCATTTACGTTTGGTTGGGTCTGAAGCCTGTGGCATTTAGGAGACTTCAAAGAAAAGTAAACAAAACTTGGATTAGAAAGTAATTCAAAATAAATATATATTTGTAATGAGAATGAGCACAGGAAGTTCCACATTATTTTTTTATTATTATTACTTTTATTTTGTTGTTTGAGACAAGGTTTCCTGTAACCCGGACAGGTCTCAAGCTCTCTGTGTATCCAAGGATAACTTGGATTTTCTGAATCCCCTGCCTCCGTCTTCCCTGAGATTCTAGGCATGCACCACCATGCCCAGCTGTATTAAGCATTCTAAAGAGCTGACAGATATGACAAAGAATGTAAAAGATGGAAAAATAGCAAGAGTAACTGCTTTCCACTCTTTGCATCCATGTGTGGAGCAATCCAGTGCAGTCGGCAGTCACCCGTTGGGTTCCACAGCCCCCTGAGGCAGGCTGAATTCTGTTGGGTTCTCCTGAGGTGGCTGGATGCTGGATGCTGGGAGCATTGCTGCACTGACTTGACTAGCCAGTCGAAGATTTGCAGAAGAGTAACTGCAAATCAGGTGCATTTATTTCTAAATTCATTTACTAAAAAGATCTTCAACTCAGCTTTTCTTTTTTTGTATTTTATTTATTATTTTTATGTGTATGTGTGTATTGCCTGCATGTAGGTAAGTGTACCTATGTCCTGCAATGCCAGCGGAGGTCAGAAGAGGTTGTCAGATCCCCTGGGACTGGAGTTACAGACAGGTGTTAGCCGCCATGTGGGTGCTGGGGTTCGAACCTGGGTCTTCTGAAAGAACAACTATTGTTCCTTAACTGCAGAGCCATCTCTCCAGCCCCGATAATCATAATTTTCGTGATAAGGAATAATATTTAAGTAACTACAATGATTAACACAAAAAATATTGGTATAACCAAGTGGTGTAATACCACATGCTGTTGTTAATGAATGAGAGGAAGTGTGTGTGTGTGTGTGTGTGTGTGTGTGTGTGTGCGTGCATGCTTGGTACCTCTTTGTAGGTTTTTTTTTAACCTGGAATGCACTGTAACTGAAATGTCCATCTCCCATTCTAGAGAATCAATAAATGCAACATATAAATGTGTATCTAAGAAGTAGTCACTGTTTACAAATATGAATATATGTCAGAAGTAGCTGTTCATGTTGTACTTGGCTGGATTGTTATTTCAATCTGCAAACATACAATGCACTCCCATGCACATACGTACATGCATTAGAATGTATTGAAAAATAATTTAGTTAAAAATTCGTCTGCTTTTTCATGGCCTTTGCCTGAGAATATAATATGTTCGTTATATTGTTTTAGTTTTTGAACTATTGAATTATGCCTAATTTTATCCACTATTATGACTGATAAATAATAAGCCTAAGCTGATATATTGTGATAAATATTTGGTAGGATAACGGTATGAATTCTTATCATATCAGTTCTGTATACCCGGGTTTGCACATGGACATAAAATATGTGTTTATAGAGCTCCAGGGGCACCTTCATCATGCCCTGTGTTACCCTTAATTATTGTGTCAAAAGCTCTAATTTTCTCTTTTTCCACCATTATTCACTGTTTCTAACCAGCTAAAGTGCAGGAAGAGATTGACCATGTGGTTGGAAGACACCGGAGGCCCTGTATGCAGGACAGGAGCAGCATGCCCTACACAGATGCCGTGATACACGAGGTCCAGAGATACGTTGACTTCATCCCCACCAACCTGCCTCATGCAACAACTTCTGACGTTAAATTCAGGAACTATCTCATTCCCAAGGTAATCTGGTTTCCTGTACTCTTAGTGTTCCTGCGTTCACAGTGAGGTTCCAATACTCTATGAGTAGAAGACAATAGAAATGAAAAATGAGAATATGTTCCTTTGAAGTACCTAGTGGACTTTATGCTATTTTGTTTGGAAGTACATATCTAACAGGCATTGTATGTCTTTGTAGGAATCATCCAATTATGTTCTTCCTTCTTTATATTGTTTTGTCAAAGCTTAGATATTGATAGTTCTAGGTGAATGTGCCAACTGTTAATTTCATGACATAGTCTTTCTGGAATTTCTTTCATAGTGAGAGAGAAAATCCACTAATAATTAGTTCATATCCTGAATTTTTTAATACCTCAATGAGATTTTTAAAATTTATTTGTGTATTAAATTTTACTTTGTGATGTCTTCTTTACATAACTTGTGAATATTTTTCTGAACAACAAATATTTTCTCTTTTCTATTTTTTAATATTTTTGTGAACCTCATATTAGTATGTTGTTTGCACCCTTTCTGTTTCTTATAATCCCTCTCCAACTAATCCCAATCCTCCACTCCTTCTAAATTTCCTGTGCCGTTTCTTAATTATTACTGTTTTACACACACATACACACACATCACTGGGGTAAGATGGAATTTTAAAGTACTTCTAATTTACATTTCCCTAATTACTAAGGATGTTGTACACTTTTAAAAGTATCAATTAGTCATTTTTATTTCTCCTTTTGAGAACCCTCTGCTCACACCTGCAGTCTCTTTTTAATGGCGTGATTTGTTTTCTTGATTCTTTGATTTCTTTGTATATTCTGGATATTAATTCTCTTTCAGATGCATATCTGGTAAAGATTTTCTCCTACTTTGTAGGCTTCCTTTCACTCAATTGATTGTTTCCTATGCTGTACATGAGATTTTTTAGTTCAATGACATCCCATTTGTTAATTGTTGATGTCAATTTCTAAGTGAATGAAGTGTGATTTAGAAAGTCCTGCACCCGTATCTTTTAGGTTCTGCCTGTTTTCTTCTAACGGTTTCAGCATTTCAGGCTTCACATTGAGGTTCTTGACCTATTTGGAACTGGCTTTGGAGCAGGGTGATAGATATAGCTCTAATTTCATTCTTCCTCATGTGGAGATCTAGTTTTGCCACCACCATTTGTTGAAGATGTTGCCTTTCCTCCAGTCTCCAGTGTGTTTTCTTGACACCTTTGTCAAATATCAGGTGGCTGAAATTGTGTACGCTCATGGTTAGGTCTTCTGTTTTGTTCCATTGATCCACATGTCTTTTTTTTTTTTTTGTCTTTTTGTTTGAGACAGGGTCTCCCTGTAGCCCCAGCTGACCACTTATACACGCTTGTGTATGTATCTATAATTCTATCTGTCTCTATCTATATTTATCTATATATCTGTTATAGCACCGATTATACAATTCACATAGAACCCATATCAGAGGATAGAGGGCACATTTCTGACCATATTACTGTGGTCCATCTACTACCTCATTACATAAATATAGATAGGTAGATAGTTCTATATGTGTGAGAAAATGTGTGATATTTGTCTATCTGAATCTTGCTCTTTTTGCTTCACAAATGATCTATCACACTCACACATCAGTATTCCATTTTGAATGATAACCCGTATGAGCTGTGTGAAAACAGACCTGATGAATTTGAATGTCAGGTGGTGTGGTGTGATGGTTTGAATGAAAATATCCCCCATAGGCTTCAAGTGTTTGGAAATTCCATCCCCACATGGTGGTGCTGTTTTGGGAGGTCTTAGAAGGTGTGGCTATCCTGGAAAAAGCACATCACTGGGGGTGGGCAAATGAGAGTTCTTAAGCCTTGCCAGATCTCCAGTTGCTCTCTTGCTTCCTGTGCCTGCGTGATGATGTGAAAGCTTAGCTCCTGCTGCTCCTGGTCCAGCCACCTCCAGCTACCATACCTCCCTGCCATGAAGGACTGTAATACTGGAACCGTAAGCTCAAATAAACCCTTCCTTCTCTAAGTTGCTCAGGTCAGTGTTTCTATCACAGCAACAGAAAAGTGACTAATACGGCTGGTAACATAAACACATGGCCAATTTTGAGGAAAAGAATAGAATCAAACTTTTTAATCTAAATATTTACATGCACTATCCCTGAAAGGCACATTAGACAAGTCACGGCCATTCTAGTCAAACCCCTAACTACTTGTTACCCGATTTGTCTGCTGGAAATGTCACTGCTCCTATTTGAACTTAGTTTCTCTTATATGGAGCAAAAGATTGTGCTTTTTGATTTCCGTTATGCTTTTTACTCTGTAATTTCTTTTTTTAAAATTTCAAATATTAAAGACAATTCGATTCTTTGAGATTTTCATATAATATATTTTGATCATATCCAGGCCGCTTCCCCATCTCCTCACAGATCGAGCACCCACCTCCTTACAGTCCTTAACTTCACATCTCCTTTATTATTTAAGGCCTTTTAAGTCTAACTTTGGTTCTCCAAATGCCCTTGTGTATGGGTCCATCTCCTTGAGCCTGCTCAGCCTACACCCGATCACATCATTAAAGTTACTCCATTTCCCAGTAACTATCAATTGCCAGTAGTTTCTCAGCTAGGGGTAGAGCTTCTTACCGACCTCCCCCAATCCATGCTGGATTTTAGTCTGACTCAGCATTGTACAGGACTTGTGAATGCTGTCACAACCACTGTGGATTCGTATGTACAACTGCCTTGCTGTGCCTGGACATCACTGTTTTCTTGTATTCACACATCACCTCCGGGTCCTTCAATCTTTCCTCACACTCTTCTGTAATGATTTCTGATCCTTTAGAGAAGAGGGTGTGATAGGTGTCCCATTTAGGTCAGAGCACTCCACGGTCCCTTATTTCCTTTGTAACTTGGTTTTAATCTGTTTCTGTTGTTTCCAGGGAACAACTGTGTTAACGTCCCTGACATCTGTACTGAAGGACAGCAAGGAGTTCTCCGACCCAGAGAAGTTTGACCCTGCCCACTTTCTAGATGAGAAAGGAAACTTTAAGAAAAGTGACTACTTTATGCCTTTTTCAGCAGGTAACAGGAACTCATTTCCATGGCTCAAGATGACAGTAAGGAACAGCTGGAACTCACAGTGAGACTTCCATGGTGCTGGTAGAGTTGTTCATCATACATGATCAGGAGCACCTCTAGTGC